TAAAAAAATTATTCATATATCATCACTTTTTTTTAGTCATAATTGATATACTTTGTATTTTTTATATATTCTACATATTTTTATTATATTAAAATATCTAAAAAATTTACGGCTGTTATACAAATCCTGTCTCATACAAAGATCGCTTTTCCCTTTTGTTTTAATTTTTTTAGATGACAATCTAGAGTTTCCATGTTTCCATGTTTCCGTCACCCTACATTTTTTCTACCCAAATAGAGAAAAAACTGAACACGGTTTCCATACGAACCTGCAAAGCCAAACATGGTGCTGCCCACAAGGCTACTGTAGTCATAAACCATGGATTAACAAAATGACAATAATGTCCAACCTTAATTATCTGTCCAACACTGTCATTGGCTCATTCAAAAAATCACGGGGATAATTTTGTCATCTCGCTCTTCGTGGAAGATATTCAAAAATCTTGCGGCAAGTATAAATGGAAACGCATTATCGAGACTCAGGCATAGTCGGTCAGACCACAGTAGCTCTTTACTACTTCGTTTTCTGCTTCACTGTCAATCCCTCCGTTTCCATTTTTCTTTGATTCCTTCCAATCGGAGTCTCTTCAAATCTAGGGTTCCGATTTTTCCGATCGATCCCTTAGCGTTTCGAGCTCATTTTCTGCCAATAACAATGGCGAAAATAAGGCAATCTCGGCTATTAGCGAAGAAATGGTTGACGCTCAAGCTCGAACAGTCAATGTTGTTCATTCTGACGGTCGGCTTCTTGATGCTTCTTTCCCTGGGGATTTTCTCTCTCCCGGCGAGTAAGGACGATTCTCCGCCAATCGATCTCACTATCCATCGGCGCATGGATTTTGAAAGGTAATTTGGTACACTTCTTAGCAGGAATATTTAATTTCGATGTCTCTTAATTAAAGGTTGTTGCTTAATCATTTAATTTAGTTGTTGTGATTTTGGCGGGAATTTGTTGCAGAGGTAATGGATTGGGGAAGAGAGGCGAGCAGTGGATCGAATTGCTTTCCTGGGAGCCTAGAGCTTTCCTTTACCATAACTTTTTGGTTAGTTTATCCTCCTTTCTTTTCAAACTATCTTGTGATGTAGAGATTCTTATAGATCGTTTTTGAACTGAGGAATGAGCGCCGATCTGGTCTTTTGTGAGCCTGAGAGCTCTTAGTGATTAATTTTTCAGAAGTTCAATTACTTCATGATGTATAGCGCAGACTCATGGATTTTGTTTAGGTCTTTATATATTTCTGTTTGTAGTCTTTGATGCTGATTGAAGACATTTATCATTTACGATTTGGTGCTTTCTTGGTATTTCTTTCTTTTAAAAAGGAAAAAAGAGCAACTGATTTGGTTTTTGTGAGCTTGAATGCTCCCAGTGACCAATTCTCCGGGAGCGCCATTAGTTCATGATATAGATTTTCTATCAGAAGCTCAGTCTAGCTAATTAAAGAAGAAAAATCTGAACCCTGTGGTATTTATGATATTTGATTTGGTGCTTTCCTAAGATTTTTTCTCAAGGAAAAAAAAAAAGAAAGAAAAAAAGGAAAAAAGAGCAGCTAATATGAATTTTTTGAGTGAGAATTCTGTGTTCAATTTTATACATGGAACCTTAATCTTCTTCTGCTGATATAGTGAATTACTTGATCTTTAGTGTTTTTCTTTTGGTGGATAACATAGGTTTGTTTTGACCGCTCTTTAAGTGATAGAATGACTATCCACGTTCAGTTTGTTTTCTCTGTTACTTTGTTATAAACTATGGAGCTGAGTATGTTGAATTTATTTATAGGTTCATTTGTAATCTTTTCTAAATGCATCTATTTTGAGATAGTAACAATGAATTTTGTTTTTCTGTTGACATTGACTATACACTTATTTTGACAGTCCAAGGAAGAGTGTGAGTACCTTATAAGTCTTGCTAAACCTCATATGGCGAGGTCATCTGTCATTGATAATAACACTGGTGGGGGTAAAGAAAGCAGGTCAGGATAGCTTATCCTCCCTTCGTTGCATTTGATGCAAATCAGTAAAACACAGAAGAGAAGAGATTCAGAATATAATTGCTTGAGATTAAATGTTAAGATCTGAGAATGAAATAACAAATTGAAATCTCGATATTGCTGCCCATATATATAACTCAGTGTGTGTGTGCGTTTATTTTTCTTTTCCCTTTTTTCTGCAAATGAAATAGAGCTTCATTGAATGCAATTTTGTTTTGGGGGATCGTTATTTGTTAAACACAGAGTATGGTTAGCAAAATTTTAAGTGACATCCATTATCCTCCAGGGTACGTACAAGCTCAGGAATGTTTCTAAAGAGAGGACAAGATAAAATCGTCAGGGACATAGAGAAAAGGATAGCAGAATTCACTTTTATACCTATAGGTATTTGATTTCGATGTGAAGTAAGACCTCTTCATTGATTTTTTCATTCTAATTCATTTATGATGATGACATGCTTACATCCTTCTTATTTAGATATTTCACTGCTTTCTGTCCACAAAATTTTCCTGTTTCTTCCTTCTACCATATGTTTTGATTTTTCCCTGGTTTTTGCATATATCATTTACATCTTTTAATGCTTTAAGGCTGTGGTTTAAGCTAACTTTAAATCTACAGAGCATGGAGAAGAGCTTCAAGTTCTTCATTATGAAGTTGGACAGAAATATGAACCTCACTTTGATTATTTTATTGATGAGTTTAACACCAAGAATGGAGGACAGCGGATGGCTACTATGTTGATGTATCTGTATGTATTTTTTAATGTCTTCAATGCACTTTAACTCCCTAATTTTATTTTATTTTTATTTGGATGCACCTTGCAAAGGAACTTGTGGATTCATTTCCCCCCTTCCATACTGTATCCTACTGTTGCAGGTCAGATGTTGAGGAAGGAGGCGAGACAGTGTTTCCTAATGCCAAGGGAAATATCAGTGCCGTGCCTTGGTGGAATGAGTTGTCTGAGTGTGGTAAAGGCGGTCTTGCTGTGAAGCCAAAGATGGGAGATGCGATACTATTTTGGAGCATGAGGCCTGATGCCACACTAGACCCTTCGAGTTTGCATGGTTGGTAATTGCTTATCTCTCTGGTGAATTTTTTGTCATCTACTTTTGATTTAATAAGTTAACCTACTTTTGATTTTAGGTGCATGTCCTGTAATTAGTGGGAACAAATGGGCAGCTCCAAAGTGGATGCGTGTCAGAGAGTACAGGACTTAAGCCTTTCAGCAGACAGAGGTACGGTGGTACTCCCTAATGCCCATTGTAGTCATTAGCCATGATCGAGGTAGTTTGTAGTTTGAGATTGCATCAAACCATTCGCTGCATCTTTGATGGGGATGGTCATTGAGAGTCAGAATTTCAGTGTCCCCTTGAACGCCACAATTTCTTGAGTAGACTGGTGGGATAGCATTCCAATCTAGAGAATTTGGAATCTTTTAAGGTCTATGAAGTTTTATTCTTCTCAATGCACATATTCAAGCTTAAAACTCTTATCAATTATCATTAAATGGGGAAGCTTCCGTCCAAAAAAGAGAGAGGGAGGCATGGCAATTGATTTTATTCTTTTTTATTATTATTATTAATATTATTTTTATTGCTTTAAATTGGTGGTCATTATTTATTGTTTCTTCAACTATTAGTCTCCTCACTATTTATCTTTCCTTGCCTCCACTGACTTTCAGGATCAAGGGCAACTAAAATGCATGTCCTTGCTGGGAGATTGTATGGCAATTGGAGTCGGAATTCCTGAGATTGTGGTGTCTCATTTACTAACCCTTTAAACTTGTTTTTCCTTGAGCATTAATGTCTTTCATTTAAGCAACTAGGTTACAGTTTCACTTAAAAAAATTGCCTTTTGATCCGGCAAATATAAGAGAAATCCTGTAGAATTAATAGATTTACAGTTTTTTTAACTTGTACCTTAATAAGTGATTAATTAATTAGATGACAGGAACATAGATTACACTTTATTCATTGACAGCCAATGTAAGGTAACAATAATTTATGAATAAATATGATTACTTCTCATAGTTATTCATCCCATCAATTCTTTGAAAATTTCATTCACAATCCTTAATCTTTTAGGTTCATTTTGATTGGACTTCTATCTTTACAATATATAACAAAATTATCGACTATCTTCCAGTTTCAAGCATGGACTGACATTGTCTTAAAGATTATATTTAACAATTTTGAAATAAAACAAAAGATATTACCCCAGTGCTTCTCATTGCTTGGAAGCATGTATAGCTGTAACTGAGTTGAGTTATTTGCGAAAAATACACGGCTCAAGCTTAAGTTTAAATTCTAAAAATTGAGTCATGTCAAGTTTGGTTTGAACCCAAACTCAACTTAATTAAATTATATTAAAAATTAATTATATACTAAATATTAAAAATTTTAATTTAAACTTAAATTAAATTTAATAATCAATTGATATCGCAAATTGAATTCACAGTTGAGATCGAATTTGCGATTTAATCTCACGAGTCAAACTCCAGCTAAGTCTATTTTAATTTGATAAAAGACTTGAACTCGTTGAGGTTGCTATAACATCATGTTTGAGTTTTAAAAAATTCAACTCAACTCAACTCAACTTACGGAGGTCCATCCTTACCAATCCTCACCCAATGCACTTCACATGTGAAGATGTGAGTCTGTGGTTTTCCGATTGCACCATTTTGGCTCTAATATCACTTGGTAGTCATTGATCACACCATTGGTTTTAATACCACTCGTGAAATGATCAAGTGAGATGCAAGCATGTGAGAAGACTTGAATATATATATATATATATATATATATTGGTATTAACCTCTTACTATTCAATAATCACATTAAATCTCGATTAATTTGAAATTGAATTAGGTCAAACTCTATTAAAAAAAACTCTCTTAATTTTTGTTTTTTCATTTATAAGATTCAAATTCAACAGACCTTATTTAAAGAAAACCAATTTATTTTCACTTAAAATAACAAATAGTTGGTATATATATATATGTCTGTATGTGTAAATGCTATCTTAAAACCTAAATATATGTTTGTTGAGTTCATGGATATCCACATATACATATATAAATATAGTGCATTCTAACATTTTATTTCTCTTTAATATAAGATCTTAATACATCTCTCAATTCCCAAAAAATAAATATTTTAGCATTAATTTCTTTTTTACTAGTAATAATAATATCAATTATAATAATAATAATGATAAATATGAATCCCCAAAAATTAATAAATAAACAAAAACAATTTTTAAATCAATTTATCTTAATTCAGTTTTTTCTCCATC